TAGGAAACGCTTTGAGAGAAAATAATTAATTAAATAAGCCTCAAAACATTTTTAATCTCGATGAAACTGGATTGCAGTTAAATAATAATCCAGGCAAAGTTGTAGTAACTAAAGGCGCTAGAATGGTAAACTGTATCACGAGTGCTGAAAAGGGAGAAACTATTTCCGTTATAACGTGTGTAAACGCAGAAGGAAGTTTTTTCCCACCCTGCTGTATATTCAAAGGGAAAAACAAAAAAAGGGAATTGTCTGTCTTGTTTTTTACTTTTTGAGTGTTTTCATTGGAAAATTCTATGCTTGGTTTTATCAAAAAAGCAAACTGAGTTTTCCAAGAAAAAAATCACCCTGGTCGGAGACAAAAAGCAGTACAAATCATCGCAAAAACAATCAACTTTTTAGCTCAAACAGTTTTTGAGCTCTCGTTGCAGTTTGATTTAAATTTTAAGAAAAATCTGCCTCCCGCTGGCCACGCCTACCGTGTGTTGTTAAGCCATTTGTTATAAGGTTGATGGTGGTAAGTAAGAGATGAATTTTTCTTAGTGATCATAATGGAATGGACTTCCTTAAAGTATAGTGAGCTCTAGATCAGCGAATGCTTTTAACAACGGTTTGGACTCTTGGAATTTATGTCTGTAGTTTTATATTATCTCGTAACGTGAAAAAAATTTGGTTTGAATATTTGAGGCAAAATCCGTATAAAAAACTTCAACGCGTAAAGTTTGACAATGATAATTGCATTTAGTGTATTTTGTACTTATTCTGTCTCATCAATGTCGTAAAAACTCATAACACCCTGAATATGGGTAATGGGCAAGACCTATGTTTATAGTAACATCCCCTGTAGTGCGCACTTGCGTACAATGTTATGAGTTATCCACTATATCCACTTGTTTGCTTTCCGTTTTTTCTGTCTTCACGACTAGACCCAAGACCCAAACCGCACTGATGCGATTTTCACGAGCACAAAACAGCGCTATGCAAACACATGTCCTTGTCAACTTTTTTTGTTATATTTGGATGTAGTTTCTGCCCTAGAAATAATTCCAGCTTTTCCTGAAACACTCTGTATAATTTTGAAGGAACCCTAATAAATCAACTATTAGAAAACGTCCTCTCAAACTATTTTTATTTTAACTCGGAAACGGTTGAATATGTAAAATCTTGTTATAAGCCGAACTACAACTACAATTGTAGGGCGCCTTTATGGCCTCCTTGATTTTCATAGTTTTCTACTGTTCCGTGTCAGCACTCTATTTTGAGGTTATGTGACAAATATCTATTTGTGCATGCTTTTGATTTAAATCATCTGCTTTATCAGCCTGAAATTTCCTGCAAATCAAAAAGGAACCATAACTGCTAGGAAACGCTTTGAGAGAAAATAATTTATTAAATAAGCCTCAAAACATTTTTAATCTCGATCAAACTGGATTGCAGTTAAATAATAATCCAGGCAAAGTTGCAGTAACTAAAGGCGCTAGAATGGTAAACTGTATCACGAGTGCTGAAAAGGGAGAAACTATTTCCGTTATAACGTGTGTAAACGCAGAAGGAAGTTTTTTCCCACCCTGCTGTATATTCAAAGGGAAAAACAAAAAAAGGGAATTTGAAGATGGTCTACCACCTGGAGGAAAGGTTGTTATTTTTTGTTCCGCGGAAAGGTGCCGGTAAGGTTCTATTAATTATGGATGGACATTCTTCGCACTGTTCTAATGTCGAACTGTTGGATTCTGCTGTAGCGAATAACGGCATCCTGTTTTGTTTGCCCAGCCACACCACACATTGGCTTCAACCGCTTGATCACTCATTCTTCAAACCTTTAAAATCTTATTGGGCTCAAACTTGTCAAAGCTGGGTTCATAACAATCCTGGTCGAAAACTGAACCGATTGCAGTTCGCCCAACTTTTAAATATTGCCTGGTGTAAGGCTGAAACAATTAAAAATGGGACTTCCGGTTTCAGAACCTGTGGGATTTACCCTTTTAATCCCGAAAAAATTCCCGATGATGCTTTTACCATTAACGACGAACCATCAGCTGAAGACAAACACAACCCACAAGACATTCTCATTGAGGAGCAAAACGACCACAGACCAGGTAGTGTCATTGCAGTCAATAACCCCGAAAATAGAAACCCCTTTGAAGCAATTTCACCGGTTCCATGCATGGAACCAGGACCAAGTGGCTATAGACGAAAACAGCATGCCGAAATACTAACTTCGCCAGAAACAATTTGCGCAAAACTAACAAAGGAAGAAGTAAAAAGAACAAAATTAAAACAAAAAGAAGAACGGAAAAAACGCAAAGTATTGTTGACCATAGGAAGAAACCCGTAGTTCCAAAAAAGAAGACTAAAAAATCACCAAGCCCGAATTCGTCAGTCACCGAAACCGAGGTAGTAACCCTAGAAAGCGACGATTCAGAAATCGATACTGATGAGTCATAATTTTGTGCAGCATGTTATGGGTATCTTTACGATAAAAAAGATCCCAAATGCGACTAGCTCCAATGTGTAACATGAAATATGTATACTTTATCTGAAGTCACTTGAAATAGCATAAAAACCTTTGGTCGGCGCGTCCTTTGTAATTTCATGACGTATAATAGGCGTGCGGTCATTTATTTAGAACGATAATAATAATGTTTTTATATCACAATAAATGGATTTTACTATCTTCTTATTTTTTTGATTTGGGATAAAAAATACTTATATTGGGAGTTTAATTTATGTTGACTGAAAGTTAAGAAATGGAAAAATTACAGAATTCCAACGTTTGACATAGGCAAATATTTACATAGCAGGTAGGTATATAAAAAGGTATATAAAGACTTACATTATAGGTTTTTATATATCATCCTCGCCTTCGGAGCTGTCGCTAGAGTCATCTTGTAGAGGAATTACAACGGGATTTACAGGAGGCAAAACACAATATTCATTTTCTTTTTCAATAATATGCCTAGAACTCTGCTTCCATAGGTCTGTGGCAGCAATATGTGATACTGCATCTCTTATTGTGGCCAATAGCGATTCACTTAATTGAGGGGTCTGATTATGTTTTCTTACTTTTTTTTTAAAGCAGCCCAGACCAACTCAATCGGGTTAAAAATGCAGTAATAGGGAGGTAGACGTAATACTTCATGGCCATTTTGCTGAAGCAGATTGTCAACAACATACTCTTTTTCAAATTTTTGTCTTTTAATAAGATCCAATAATATGGCTTTGGTTGATTTTTGTGGTATTTCCATTCCCTTATCCTTCATAAAATCAATAATGTCTTGTTTTTTTGTGCCTGTATTCGGAATTTTGTTTTTCTGTCGGGAATGGTATGGCGCATTGTCCATCATAATCACTGAATTTGGGGAAATATTTGGTATTAACTGCTGCTCTATCCACTTTTCAAATAAGTCGGAGGTCATGTCCTCATGATAGTCGGCACATGATTCTTTGATATTTTTGGCAGATAACAGCAAGGCATTAGGTATAAATCCATTTTCACTGCCAGCATGGAGAATAATGATTCGTTTTCCACGGTTGCATGGTGCATTTAAAATGCACTTGTTGCTGTCGTCAACCCAGCCGTACTGCACAACATCATGGGTATCATACAACGTTTCATCCAGGTAAATCAGATTTCTTTTCTGCTCTCTATAGATTTTAACTTTGTGCAAAAATTCTTGACGCAATTCAACGATTCGAGACGACTCCATAATCACCATTCTTTTATCTAATTTTTTGATATTGAAAACTACACAGTTTTACAATACAGTGCAGTGAGTCTAAGCATTTGTAATTACAAAAATCTTCAGGATAATCTTTTAATTTATCCCGTATCATTTCCAACGTTGGCACCAAATTTTCTTTATAAAATCCGTATATTATACGACGAATATCTTCCTGAAAACCCACGTCTATTCTTTTTAATTTTTGCCCTATGCGCCTTATGTGGAAGTAATGGTTGACTACATCTCCCCTTTTTATAACCCGATAAATGGTAGACCGACTGATTTTTTTCAGGATACAAATTCTGTTTAAAATTTGATTTTGCGAAGAATCTGGATTTTCGTTTTTCAGACAATCATACATATTTAGGATTACTCTTTGGGTCTGTTCCTCTAAATCTTTATGAAAGAATTTTGCCTGCACAGGTTCATCAACCATCTCCTCGTGGCTTGGAGCATTTTCCTAAGGTCTCCAAAGAGCCATATTTAGGACACACAAGAACAATCAACACAACAATTAAATCAACAAGTAAACTGAGTATTCAAAAGTCAAAAACACACAAACTAATAAAATCTATGAAAAAACACGGACAGACTAAAGAAAACACGTTTATTCACCGCTACACGGCACTGGCTAAACTGTTTCAGTTTTCAGTAGCCACCTGCACTTGTTCGGAGCTCTGAAATACACGCTTTCTCATTGGCTATGTCCACGCATAGGCGTGCTTTACTCCACGTGGACCGGTGAAACTGCCTTTGATCTTATATATATATATATATATTTGCTGCGAAATTTGGCGATTTTTGCAGCAACAGAGCGTGTTAAATATAGATATATAAAACGCACCCGGTATTTCACAGTGTTTCAAGTGACTTCAGATAAAGTATACGCAATCTGACAGATTTTGCGAAGAGTGTACGCCGTTATCCGAAATAGCTTCCAACACAAAATCACATTAAATGATATTTACCAGTACCTATACCTAAGTATATTAGCATTATTCGGATTGTCTGTCTTGTTTTTCACTTTTTGAGTGTTTTCATTGGAAATAAAAGTGTATTTTTGCAATTATCAGCAGTTTCTATAAAAAGTTGAATTTCCTAATTTTTACGTTACGAAAACATGTTGCCTTATTACCCAGAGCTAGATGCCATATTACCCATAGGTGCGGGTAATATTGAGTCATTGGACATTTTTGATTATAGTATTTTTGTCGTGACGAGAGCTTTCATACCGCAAACCTGCAAGTGTAAGCTCTAAGGTTCAATAATCTTATTGCGACTATGTCCGATGGAGGTCAGGATGTGAGCGTTTCAAATTTATGTTGCCATATTTCCCCGCTTTACTCTACCACAATTTGTTTGCCAAAAGTTATCACCGAGCTTCGAAAATCAACCCCGAAATAAGAATCATCCTCCATCAAGACAATGCAAGCTCGCACACAGCCCAAAAAACAAGGCAGTATTTAACGGAAGAAAACGTGGAATTATTGGACCATTCTCCATATAGTCCTAACGATTTCTTTACTTTCCCGAAAATTAAAAACAGACTGCGCGGTCAAAGGTTCCAGTCACCAGAAGAAGCAGTTGACGCATTAAAAACTTCCGTTTTGGATCTGCCAGCAAACGAGTGGAATAAATGCTTCGAAAATTGGTTCGTGAGCATGCATATGTGTATTAATCTTCGTGGAGAATACTTCGAAAAACAATAAAGTCATTTAAAACTACCGTGTTGTTTTATTTCCATATGCAAAACTTAAAAGACAGCATACTTAGCAGCCGATATAAATTACTTTCGCGTCATGCATCACCCTATATACCGTAAATCGCTCTTCGTCCTTGGATGGCATTTTTTCTACGCCAGTTTACCAGTGTCTTGAGCAAGAGAGGTGTCGGTAGTACCGGCAGCACCACTCGTGGTACCATAGTACCGACCAACCTTTCTCCGTTCCACATATCACCGCTAACAAAACAAAACATCATTTACATATCCACACACACCTTTATCTCGGCTCGGTAGTACCCCGTGTAGCCCAGGAAAATAAGGTTCCAACCTCGGCATGAACGATAATGACACTGAACAATTGCACGGGTTTTTGTTTTGACGTTCTATAACTTGGATCAAAAGTTTTTTATTATACAGAGTGCCAAAAAAGGTAGAATTCAAGAATTGAGTACATTTTTTTTATTTTACACACATATTTTGGTTTATCTTCCTTCTACAATCATTATCTGAAAATTAATGACTCAACATCAAAGTATAAATCCGAACACCCAGTTTAAATGGTTTTATTTTAATAAAATTTTGTATAAGTACTTAATGAAGCGTAATAAGTAAATGATAAAAATTTCAAAATGATTGCACTGCTTTAAAGCCCTTTGACCTTAATAATGTGTGGATGCACCCTGATGTGCTACGCATTCTCCAACGCGCCTAGGCGTGCTTCTGATCAGGTGGTCAATGTCCTCCTGTGGTATCTCATTCCAGGCAACCACCAACTCCTCTCGAAGTGCTTCTAGAGCCTGAGGAGGACGTTGCAAATTGAGCAATGGCCTACCCATCATATCCCACACGTGCTCAATTGGGGACAAGTCGGGAGATCTTGGTGGTCATGGTAACAATGTGACATCATTATGTTGAAAGAAGTCTATTGTGACTCTTGCAACATGTGGTCGAGCATTATCTTGTTGGAAAGTTGGATCTGCCAGGGTATCAAGACAGGGTAAAAGATGGGGTTCTAGAACTTCGTGGATATAACGCTGCGCGTTCATGTTACCTCTGATGAAGATTAAAGGTGACCTGGAACCATAAGCTATAGCACCCCAAACCATAACAACAACAGTGTGATGAACATGTCTTTCAACAAAAAACTGTGGATTCCTCCTTTCACCACGTCGCCTTATAACCCTGGCACGACCATCGTGCATGCCTAAACAAAATCGAGACTCGTCACTAAAGACAATACTGTTCCATTCCTGATCCCAGAGTGACCGTTGTCTGCACCACTCAAGGCGATTACGTCGGTGTACTCGAGTTAAAGGGAGGACCCAGTGTGGCCGGTATGAAAACAAGCCAAAACTTCTCATTCGTCGGTAAACACTTCGCATGAAAATAGGTCTTCCGTGTTCTGCAAACCATTCATTTGCAATGGACCTGGTAGTGGAGAAACGGTCCCTTAAGGCCAGTAATCTTAGGCGGCGATCTTCACGGTCTGTTGTTCTACGGCGGCGTCCAGTGCCCCTTGCTCTTTGCGTACGGCCTTCTCGAAGCCATGCCTGACAACACCTAACTACAGTGTCTACACTTCTTTGCACTCTAACTGCAATTGCCCGAAAAGAAAGTCCAGCTTCCCGAAGTCCCACTATACGGCCCCTATCAAACTCACTAAGTTGACGAAATCGTACAGGTCTCCGTACTCTAGGCATCGTAATCGATCGTAAAGGATGTCAAGAACCAAAATCCGCCAACGTTGATTCTTTACTGCGGCTGAAATATTCATTTTTAGAGCGTTAGTGAATTAAAAAAAAGCAGTATAAAAACCGGAATGTCCAACTGATAAGGCTGAAAATTTTTTCACTTGTTATTTACAGTAAGATAAATACATTCACCAACTTTTATTAAAATAAAACCATTTAAACTGGGTGTTCGAATTTATATGTCACTTAGTATATTTGAAGAAGTATTCTTAATTTATTTCATTTTTCGGCAATCGTTGCTTGCCAACAAATAATAGTACAGCTATGAAATTGCATGGCAATTTTTCACGTTCAAAGCAGATTATCATGGATGATTCCTGTCTTGTCACTTCTTTTCGAAAAAGGCTTGGTTTTGTCAAAAAATTAAACTGAGTTTTCCAGAAAAAAATCACCCTGGTCAGAGACAAAAACCTGTACAAAACATTGCAAAAATGATCAACTTTTAAGCTCCCACGGGTTTTGAGCTCTCGTTGCAGTTTGATTTAAATTTTAAGAAAAATCTGCCTCCCGCTGGCCACGCCTACCGTCATTTGTTATACGTGTGTTGTTGTTAAGCCATTTGTTATAAGGTAAGCGATTAATTTTTCTTAGTGATCATAATGGAATGGACTTCCTGGAATTAATGTCTGTAGTTTTATATTATTTCGTAACGTGAAGAAAAATTGGTTTGAATATTTTAGGCAAAATCCATATAAAAAACTTCAACGCGACAATGATAATTGCATGTAGTGTATTTTGTACTTATTCAGTCTCATCAATGTCGTAAAAACTGATAACACCCTGAATATGGGTAATGGGCAAGAGCTATGTTTATGAGAACATCCTTTGTAGTGCGCTCTTGCGTACAATGTTTTGAGTTATCCACTATATCCACGTGTTTGCTTTCCGTTTTGTCTGTCTCCACGACTAGACCCAAGACCCATACCGCACTGATGCGATTTTCACGAGCACGAAACAGCGCTGTGAAAACATGTCCTTGTCAACTTTTTTGTTATATTTGGACCCTAGAAATAATTCCAGCTTTTCCTGAAACACAATGTATAATTTTGAAGGAACCCTAATAAATCAACTATTAGAAAACGTCCTCTCAAACTATATTTATCTTAACTCGGAAGCGGTTGAATATGTAAAATCTTGTTATAAGCCGAACTACAACTACAATAATTGTAGGACGCCTTTATGGCCTCCTTGATGACAAGTTTTCTACTGTTCCGTGTGAGCACTCTATTTTGAGGTTATGTGACAAATATCTATTTGATGATAACAATATCTATTTGTTCATGCTTTTGATTTAAATCATCTGCTTTATCAGCCTGAAATTTCCTACAAATCAAAAAGGAACCATAACTTCGCAATAGAAGACCGCTGACGCTAACACGAACATCAGACATTAGAACTACCCCAGCCTTTCTGAAGGAGAGAAAAGACCATGAAAATCAAGGAGGCAATACAATTGCATGACGTCTTTATGGCCTCCTTGATTTTCATAGTTTTCTACTGTTCCGTGTCAACACTCTATTTTGAGGTTATGTTACAAATATCTATACTAAGTGACATATAAATCCGAACACCCAGTTTAAATGGTTTTATTTTAATAAAAGTTGGTGAATGTATTTATCTTACTGTAAATACCAATTGAAAAAGCCTTATCAGTTGGACATTCCGGTTTTTATACTGCTTTTTTTTAATTCACTAACGCTCTAAAAATGAATATTTCAGCCGCAGTAAAGAATCAACGTTGGCAGATTTTGGTTCTTGACATCCTTTACGATCGGTTACGATGCTTAGAGTACGGAGACCTGTACGATTTCGTCAACTTAGTGAGTTTGATAGGGGCCGTATAGTGGGACTTCGGGAAGTTGGACTTTCTTTTCGGGCAATTGCAGTTAGAGTGCAAAGAAGTGTAGACACTGTGGTTAGGTGTTGTCAGGCATGGCTTCGAGAAGGCCGTACGCAAAGAGCAAGGGGCACTGGGCGCCGCCGTAGAACAACAGACCGTGAAGATCGCCGCCTAAGATTATTGGCCTTAAGGGACCGTTTCTCCACTACCAGGTCCATTGCAAATGAATGGTTTGCAGAACACGGAAGACCTATTGGCATGTGAAGTGTTTACCGACGAATGAGAAGTTTTGGCTTGTTTTCATACCGGCCACACTGGGTCCTCCCTTTAACTCGAGAACACCGACGTAATCGCCTTGAGTGGTGCAGACAACGGTCACTCTGGGATCAGGAATGGAACAGTATTGTCTTTAGTGACGAGTCTCGATTTTGTTTAGGCATGCACGATGGTCGTGAAAGGGTTAGAAGGCGATGTGGTGAAAGGAGGTATCCACAGTTTTCTGTTGAAAGACATGTTCATCACACTGCTGGAGTTATGGTTTGGGGTGCTATAGCTTATGGTTCCAGGTCACCTTTAATCTTCATCAGAGGTAACATGAACGCGCAGCGTTATATCCACGAAGTTCTAGAACCCCATCTTTTACCCTATCTTGACACCCTGGCAGATCCAACTTTCCAACAAAATAATGCCCGACCACATGTTGCAAGAGTCACAATAGACTTCTTTCAACATAATGATGTCACATTGTTACCATAGCCACCAAGATCTCCCGACTTATCCCCAATTGAGCACGTGTGGGATATGATGGGTAGGAGATTGCTCAATTTGCAACGTCCTCCTCAGACTCTAGAAGCACTTCGAGAGGAGTTGGTGGTTGCCTGGAATGAGACAGCACAGGAGGACATTGACCACCTGATCAGAAGCATGCCTAGGCGCGTTGGATAATGCGTAGCACATCAGGGTGCATCCACACATTATTAAAGGTCAAAGGGCTTTAAAGCAGTGCAATCATTTTGAAATTTTTATCATTTACTTATTATGCTTCATTAAGTACTTATACAAAATTTTATTAAAATAAAACCATTTAAACTGGGTGTTCGGATTTATATGTCACTTAGTATATTTGCATCGAATTGTTCATGCTTTTGATATAAATCATCTGCTTTCTCAGCCTGCAATTTTCTACAAATCAAACAGAAACCATAACCTCGCAATAGGAGACCGCTGACGCTGACACGGATAGTAGACATCTAGAATTACTCCAGCCTTATTTTCTTGGGCTATAATGCCACTTCATTATCGGCTGGTAAAAGTTTGCTTTTATGATTTTTGGCGAGTGAGTTTGCAAAAAATACTTATAATAACCGGACATAATATACAGTTTGAAAATTTGCC